AATTAGTCTTTTGTGGCATATGACAATTGTATATTGCCCAATATTATCATGGAAAATAAAAGCTCTATTAATTATAGCTGCATTCTTATGAATTAGTTTTGAAATGTATTTCTCTCTTTTCTGTAGGGAGTTCCACCAAGGGCAATTTAAGTAACTTCTAGCCAACCGGAACTTATAGTATTTCTCTCTCTTTTCTGTAGTTTGTAATTTTTTGACTCAATCAATAAGCTACCAGAGTCATAAAAAAAGAAAGGAAGGAAACTAGCTTTTAGAATAGAAGGTTACAACATTTCAAAGCTAGTGTTTAGGAAGTGAAAATAATACATACCAATTTTACCCTTCGAAGTTTTAAAAATTTACATTAGTTTTTTTTAACTAAAAAACTCTATTATTTTTGTTGTTTCACCTTATATCGCTGATAAAAAATATATTGCATAACAAATTATATATACAAAATTAAAATAAAAGATTGAAAATTTTCATTTTAAATTTATGTATTTAATAAATGATTAAATAAATAGTGTGTGTATTTTTAGTTATTTTTTTAGATTTGAATGAGTTATACATTCTTATTTAATAAACTATCTATTTTTGTGTGAGAACCTAAACCTTAGGGTTGTTTGATTGTCCTCAAGTGAAGACACAAAAGCCAAATGGGGAGAAGACCATTAAGGTCAATGGGTGAATGTGCATCACACAATTTGCTTTTTGACCCGACATGTCTGCCTCATTAGCAAGGACTGCAATTTTAGGATATCCCATGATCAACATTTGAGTTAAAAGATGATGTATCTGATAATCGATTAATACTATGGTTAATCATTATTAGTTGTTTTTGGTTGATTAATTATTAGTTAGACAATGTAATATATAAATGATGATTCAATTAATCCTTGTAATTAATTTAATATGGAAAAATTGAATTCATTCAAAAATGAAGTTTCTATTCATGAATAACTCCTACCGCTATAAAACCTTATCCCTATTGTCCTTCCAGCAGGCAAGAGCACTCATGTTTCTTATAATTTTGCATCATATGTAGTGTCAAATGTGCTATCTTAGTTGGACAAATATTCATGGAATAAATAGATGGGGAAATTCTTTTAATGTCACACTATTTTTTATTTAAGATTGTAATCTCATTTTTAGAATTAAATTCCAAAAATACTTGTTGTTAATTAATGTACTTTGTCGTTGTTCAAATCAGGAATGCCAATCTAACCTAAATATGTGAATACCCATCAAACACGAGCTAAATTTGACTTTGATTAGGTTCGTGTTTATTTATTTAAAATGGCTTGGGTTTGGGTTTGGTGTTGATGATACACGTCCTGAACTCACCCCTTACTTATATATATATATCATTAGAGTTAGAATTATGTAATGGATTATCAACTGAGAATGAAATTCGTTTTTCAATCCCAAATAATTCGAGAAAGTAAAACCCACCCCACTAATTGTCATTCCTATTTCCATTCTCCCCTCATTGGTGTGCCTTAATTTCATACCACCAATTTCACAACACAATTAACATAAGAGCATGATTTTACTCACTCTTTTGCACAATCTATCAAATTGGGTATGGCTTTTTATTTATTTATGAAACAACACTTTATGGTACTCCTTTTATCCCATAATATTGCAAAACAGTTTTAAAAGTCAAAGAAATAAGAATTATTGTATCGCATGATATACTCATTGATTATGACTGTTAGTTACGGAGAATTGTATAGTTTTTTTTCACTATTAATTAGTACAATATATTATTTCCTAATAATTTAGTGTGTTTTCCTTCATTACTCATTCATAGACATTATATATGATTTTAAAGATATTTTATTAATTTTTTAACTAATTTGAGAGAAGAGTTTTTATGCTTTTCTATCAAGATAACGGAAAGGAGAGAGTATCATTTTGATACTTTTTTAATGAATTTTTATAAGCAAAGTTTTTTATGGGATGGGGAGGTAGAAATAGTATAACCACTAAGAATTGAACTTAGACTCTCTCATTTTATGTCTCACAACTTTATTAACTGAATTGACTATGGGTATAGTTTTGTAATGAATTGTTGAACTTGGTTACCAATGAATTTGTTTAAAAAATAATGCAATAAGTTATATATGTAGGAAATAAAAATTATCTTGTGATTTTGATAAAGAATGAGTAGTTACTTCTGGGAAGACAACAATGATAAAATACAGGGAATTTCGATTGAGAATGGATGGTGATATGATGAAGTAGGAAATGAATAGTGTTTTGATGAATATGGATTTAGGAGATTTTGAGAAAAAAATGATATTTGTGGAATTATGAAAAAGGAAGTGTAGTGCCAAATGAAAAGTAATGTGGGGTCTAAAGAAATTCCAAATCAAGTAGACATTAATTAAACTAACTTGTTGGGTTGGGTTAGGTTGGTTAAGTGTTATTTTGATGTATAGGTTGGTTAAATGTCATTTCCTCGTTAGATTAGAGTTGGTTTAGTTTGGTTTTTATTGTCATCTCTATAAATTTAGTTGAATGAACTCGCAATTGATGAGTTTGATAGCTCTATTGATTGTAATGTTAAAATTCTCACAATTTTAAAAGAAATAAATGTGGATAATTTGAAATTGGCTAAGATATACAATGGTGCAATGAAGGTGAAATTCTAAAAAGATGAGCTAGGTTTGTTTTGTTTAGATTGTGTTAGTATGTTAAATATAGTGAGAATTATAGCAAAGATTCAAAGAGTAACTTCATGCTTGACTCTCTCACATGATGTCTCCTATTTTTTATAACTATATCTTATGTAGTGTTTTTGTTATTTCTAATAAGTTTATGACATGAGTTGATAATGGTATTACCAAAAGTATTAAAAGATTTGCAAGACGTATCTTGCTTTTGGAAGATGAATGAAGAAGTGAGTAACACTTCTTTGAAAGCAAGAAAAGAAAGCTTTAGTAAAAAGAATAAGAAACTATATTACTTGAATTGCTTTTAGAAAGAAGAAGATACAAAGTGCATTTATAGGAAGTCAGTTTGTTTGTCGTAACTAACAAAACTGACTTTCCTTTCTAATAAAAGGCACGTGAAAAATAAGTCAGGCAGAAAAGAAAGAGAGTTGGGCCAAAAAATAGAGGGGATGGCCCAAGTCACTGACTTAGCTTTTTACATGAATAACACGGCCAGTTGTCTAAGTCAGGGGCTTCTGGTTCTCGGTCATGATACTGAACCTGGCTTTTAGCTTCTCGATCATTTTGTTGAGTCATGGCGCAATTTTCTTCAGTCAGATCATGTTGCTTGTCTCGGTCAGGTTGATGGAGCAGAGGAGGATGATGTGATGAATTGGCTACAGAGGGTAGATGGATTTGGTTGAAGGGATGTGTGTGTGTGAAATAAGAGCACAATGGTATTCTTGTAAGTATGAGGGTGGTTTATGTTGTCTGATACTCTTTCTGGTTGTTATGGGAGGGCTTGTGGGTATAGGAAGGGAAGGTGAGTCAGATGTTGGAGGAGCAGGGGATGGTGCAGGTTGATGGTAGGTAGGTATAGGTAGGGTGTCTTCATAGAAAAGGGAGCTAGGGGTAAGGTATTAGGAGTGGGTAGATTGGTCTGCTGTTGATGCCTGATAGTGGTGTATGGGAAGATGTGTTCATGGAACACAACATCCCTACTGACTTGAATAGCTCTAGTAACAAGATTGAGGGTGACATAACCTTTTGTGCCTTCTTGAAATCCTAATAAGGCACACTTGGTGGATCTGGGATCAAACTTATCCCTTAGATGTTTATAAGTGCTCACAAAGCAGAGACAACCAAAGACACGAAGATTTTGAAATTGAAAGGGTTTGTGATACAGAACCTCATAAGGTGATTTGTGTTTGAGGTTGAGAGTAGGCAAAGAATTGATTATGTGAATAGAATGCTTAAGAGCATAAGACCAATAAAGCTATGGTAAGTTACTTTGTATGAGTAAAGCTCGTGCTACATTTAAGATGTGCTAGTGTTTTCTTTCCACCACACCATTTTGTTGTGGTGTATAAGCACAAGAAGTTTGGTGAATGATGCCTTCATTGACATAGAATTGCTTTAATGTGAACTCAGGGCCATTGTCTGATCTAACAATCTTGACAGTGGTAGAGTATTGTGTGTGTGAGAGTTTTATGAAATTCTGCAAGGCTTGAGCAGCTTCTGCCTTGCTTTTCATAAGGATAATCCATGTGTATCTACTATGGTCATCAATTATAGTAAGAAAGTATTTATGTCCATGGATTGAAGGAATGGGATAGGGTCCCCATATATCTACATGAATTAACTCAAAATTGGCAAGACTAGCAGTATGACTTAAAGGAAAAGTAAGTCTTTTTTGTTTTGCTTGATGGCAAATGTCACAAACATATTGTTTATCAGAATTAACAAAAGAAAAATTTGCCTTAATAGCATCCATACAGTAATGAGAGGGATGAGCTAGTCTATAGTGCCATAGAGTAGATGTAGGAATTATTACAGAATTAGCAACAAAGAATTGAATGTTATGATCATGTTTATCTCCTTGTAAGACATATAATCCATTGTATTTCCTAGCTAAACCAATCATCCTCAAGGTATCCTTCTTCTGTATTTTGCAACAAGATGAGTCAAAAGACAAAATACATGAAGAATCTGATGTTATCTTGGATATGGAAAGCAAGTTGTATGAAAAACTTGGAAGATACAAAACATTATGAATAACCAAGTTAAGAGATATATGTATAGTCCCTGAGATTTTAGTTTTTATTTCATGTCCATTAGGCAATCTAACTTTGATAGGCTTAATTCTATAATAAGCAGTGTAGTACTTGATTTTAGAAACCACATGATCAGTGGCACCACTATCTAATATCCAAAGAGGTTTAGAGTTACCATTATCAGCTTGATCATTAGATAGAGAAGTTGCAGACAAAGTCTTGACCACATTATCTGCAGAAGGTGATTCCCTTTGTTGATTGTTTTGCTCCAACATGCTCATTAGTCCTTGGTACTGATTCCTGGTTAACCCAATAGTAGTGTTGTCTTCCTTTTTCCCCTCATTGTTGTGTGCAGAGGTCATAGAATTAACCTGCCTATTTCTAGTAAATTGGAAGTTAGCATGGAATCCATGAAGTCTATAGCATACGTCAATGGTGTGTCCTAGCTTCTTGCAGTGAGTACAATATTTTCCAGGGTTTGATGATTTGTTCCAAGATCCTTTGTATGATGAAGTGCTTCCTTTGGTGAATCCTTTGTTATGTTTTGCATTCTTGCCAGACTCTGTGTTCTTCCTCCAATCTGTGTCGATGTTCATGGCTTTTGCCTCTATCTCATATCCATAGAGTTGTGTTTCTTGTTGAACCACTAAGGAGAACACCTTGCTCATGCTTGGGAGAGGGTCCATCAACATGATTTGTGATCTAATAGTTGCATAAGGGTCATTCAGTCCTTTTAGGAATCGAATTACCTTGTCTTTTGTCCTGAACTTGATACTATTGCAGGTACACTTAGATAAGGGTCTGAAAATTTCATATTCATCCCAAAAGATCTTCATTTCAGTGTAGTAGCTTGATACAGAATGCTCTCCCTGCTTGTAGTTGGTCATTGATTCTTGAAGGTCTGCTATCCTCTTATGAGAATTTGTCTCTGAGTTCATCCCATATTTCATTTGCCTTATCAATGCATAAAACGCTTTGAGCAATTGTGGGTGAGACATACCTCACAATCCATGAGATTACCAGGTTGTTGGCTCTTCTCTAGGCTATGAATGATGGATCTTCCTTCAGTGGCATCTGAATGCTCCCATAAATGAAGTCGACCTTGTGCTTCGTTATGAGGCTCATCATCATGGATCTGCTCCATTGATGATAGTTTTCACCTATTAAGGTAGGTGACACCAAAGTTGCTCCTGGATTCTCCGAGGGGTGTATGTAATATGGATCTTGTGTTGCATCTATCGATTGAGTGACAGGGATGGTGGACGAAATTGAAGAGGCCATCTCCATCTATCGATTGAGCTCTGATACCATAAAAGATTTGCAAGATGTATCTTGCTTTTGGAAGATGAATGAATGAAGAAGTGAGTAACACTTCTTTGAAAGCAAGAAAAGAAAGCTTTAGTAAAAAGAATAAGAAACATTATACTTGAATTGCCTTTAGAAAGAAGAAGATACAAAGTGCATTTATAGGAAGTCAGTTTGTTTGTCGTAACTAACAAAACTGACTTTCCTTTCTAATAAAAGGCACGTGAAAAATAAGCCAGACAGAAGAGAAAGAGAGTTGGGCCAAAAAATATAGGGGATGACCCAAGTCACTAGGCCAAGTCACTGACTTAGCTTTTACATGAATAACACGGTCAGTTGTCTAAGTCAGGGGCTTCTGGTTCTCGGTCATGATACTGAACCTGACTTTTAGCTTCTCGGTCATTTTGTTGAGTCATGGCACGGTTTTTTTCGGTCAGATCAGGCTGCTTGTCTCGATCAGGTTGATGAAGCAGAGGAGGATGATGTGATGAATTGGCTAATAAGTATTGCTTACCCAAAGAGTAATGAACTAATCTCTTTTAGGATATCATTTCCAACAAATGTTACTTTCAGGAATTAAATCTTTGACATTTTAGTCATTCCAATGATATAATAGAACCTTACACCACTAGAACAATATTTTATTAGTTCATGTCAAAGTTAAACTTGAACCCCACATAAACTATGGTTGGGTCTAAACATACTCAAACTAATCAGAAGAGTCAAACCAATCCAAAAATAGAGTTTGGTTGGGTTGAGTTAAATTGCTTGGGTTTCACACATTCATGTGGACCATTTTCATTCACAGATTCTTGGTATCATTGGTTCTATGATGTATTTAACTCATACTCTTTGTTATGTAGCTTGCTAGAGTCATACCCTTTCCTTTTCATCATTTCAACTTTATAGCTGTAGCATATGTTATCACATTATTGGTACTTCCTTTTGATCAATTTTCTAGTCTAGGAATATATATCATTCAATTAAGTTCAGTGAACATGAAGAATAACGTCCCTTCCTTCATAGTTTAGTGGTGAATTTTTACTTTGTTTGCAATGTCTCTTTTCATGAGTCACAATGGAGCTTCAACATATAAAACAACAAGATAAAGTTTTTCCTTGTACCACAAGATAAATTATTTCCTCAAACTATTAAAATTATGATATGTGTCATGTGCTTCTAGTTTTTAGAAATATTTTTTGTGAAAAGTGATTAAATATAACACGTCATAATTTTACCGACGGAATGAGATATCATGGTATGAGAGAATACTTTGTTCTCATGTGTTTTTGTTGAGTGCCTAGCAAAAAGTAATGTGCTATGATTAGGGGGGTTGGCGGTTTATTTCGATCAATTTTTAGATAAAAAATGATTTGTTCAGAAGACGTAAATAATATAATGTATGGTTTGATTTCGTTGATTTCCATGAAGAAATCCAATCGAAAATTTATATGTGATTTTGGTCCATTAGTTCAATTTTTTTAGTAATAAAATAACAAGTCTAACATACATTTATAAATGTCAAGTTCACCAACATGTCTATTTCAAAATAATAGGTTTAATATATTTTCAAAGTATAAAATTCACATTAAAAAATATCAATAAGTATACTCTAAGACTCATGTTGTCAAGTGTGATATATGTAAATATTGATTTGAACATTAATAATATATCTTTGAACTAAAAATAAGAATGACAACAAAAATAAAAATAAGTGGAGATAGAAAACACCAAAAAAAAAATAACACAAATGACACACCTGCATAATTTTAATAATAAGAAAGTGTTAACTAACAAGTAATAACACTTTTAACAATTAGAAAATATGAAAAATGTAAATTTTACATTATCAATTATAAGACTAAATAGATTTAGAAATTAAATAATCTTCATTTTTGTGTAATGTAATTAGTATAATTTCAGTCTAGATCATTTTGGTTTCTGAAATTGAAACAAAAGTCGATCATGACCAATTGCTTTTCTAAAAACCAGTCCATTACGATGCAAATTATTTCCATTTTTGTGGTTTCATTTTTTTCTGACTGATTTTTAGTTTCTTTTTTTGATCCGTCTGGATCTAAACACTCATGACTATAATTAAAAGTCACACGGCCAAAGATGTGAGAAGCTTAGTCAATTAGTCAATTAGCAACATGAATTAATATCTATAAATTGTTATAAAAAAGATTATACAACAATAATTAACTCTCATTTCTAGTAAGTGGAGTCAAATAATATGAATTGAATGAAGGCATAATGTTATATCATAAATCATGTCGATTGATAAAATATTGATATTTAAATCTTTTAAAATCGTTTCACTTATGGTTTCTCTTTGCCCTCTCTCTACTTTTAGAAATTGGACTAACATCTATTTGATTTTCTCTCGTCATTGTAACTTTTAACGGCTTCCTCCATAGATACTCTAATCACCTAAAGTGTGATTCAACAATCTTTTCTATAATAGGAGTGACTCCAACTCTCTCCATAAACATTCATTCTTAGTCTTATCCAATCTAGTGTGTCAATTCATCAAACACAACATTCTCATATAACATAATTTGAGTTTATTCTCTTGTAAACCTTTTACCTCTCAATATTCAATCCTATAAAACATTCTCTCAATATTCAATCCTATAAAACATTGTAGGTTTATAGTTGTGCGATAAGATTATCCATTAAGTTTGAGTGATATTGTTCTATCACTTATGATAGTTGTTGCACTATTATACCATTTCATCCACCCCACTTGAATCATATGCCTTATATATCTCAATTTATTATTGTGTTGTATGATTGACCTAAAATACTTAAATCTAGTTACTTATGCTTTGCTATAATCTCTCACCTTTACATATACAATAAGATTTGTCTACCTCTTGCTAAACTTACATTCCATATATTCAATCTTGTTCATTATATGAAAGTCATGTCCTTCTAAAGCTTATCTCCACATATCTAGCTTTTCATTTACTTTCTCTCGATTATCCACCCAAGACAATATCATATACAAATAGAAATGACAATGGGGCGGGTCGGGGTCGAGTTTGCGCTTACTCAACCCTGATCCTGAAATCCAAAACTCAAACCCAAATTGAGCGGAGTTTAAATTATTAATATCAAACCCGAAACTTGACGGGGAACCCAAAAATACCTCAAATGATGTAATGAAATAACATCACATTGAATAAAGGTTAGAAGAAGATATCAAATAAAGGCTTTTTCAAATACCTCAAATGGTTTTTTCAATCAACGCTTTTGGCCACTGTTTCATTATTAGTTGTAATGAAAATTTATATCAAATAAATGTTAGAAAAATATATATTAAAATGTTAATTTATTCAATTTATTAATTGGGACGGGTTAAGGGCGGGTTTGGGGTAGGGTACCACATATACCAAACCTGAACCCAAATATTAACATCGGGTAAAACCTAATAACAACGGATTTTACCCATTAAATTCGGGTTGAGTTCGGACGAGTACTCACAAATTCGGTTTTCATTGTCATCCCTATATACAAAGAGCACGCATTATGACACCATTTAATGGATATACTTATTATTAAGGATATTCAATATTAATGTAAACAAGTAAGGGCTTAATATTGATCCTCGGTATAAAATTTAGTTTTGAATATGTTTTTCACGTAAATTTTAAACATCATTTTAATGTTTATAAAATAAAGTGTTTTGGTTGTAATCTTTATAAAAAAAATTGATTTTACATCTACTAATAATTTGAAATACCTAGTTTTGAGATATGTGATGTTATAGCCAGCTTGTTTCTCAAGAAAACATGGGAAACATGCTCAATATCTTGATTAGATATATTTTAATGGTATAGAAGACCAAAACAAATTTGCTACATAAATAATATGTCTTAGTAAGAACAAAAAAACACTCTAACGTGTACAAAAGTCAAGGACAAAAGTTACTAATTTCAAATTTTGCATATGCAAAAATCATTTATTTATTATAATTAAGCACCAAAGTCTATATATCTAAATATCTAATTGGATTAAAAACATATTTAATTGAAGAATTCAAACTTTTATAATATAGTTTTTAATAGTTTGATTGGGATATGGTTAAACAGAAAAAGAGAATATACATCATATAAGTATATTTATATTTATAATTTTTATATTATCATTTATGACTAAAATGATATGATAAATATAGAAAAGAATCATCCACAACTTCTTAGTTTTACATTTGCATTGATAAAGTATCATGTCATTATGACTAAATGATAAAATGGCATACCATTCTATTTTTTCTTGTTGTGTTTTATGTAATTATCTCTCTGGTATTCTAACCCCACATTTATATTGTATTTTATGGTTCTTAAATCTATATTTTTTTTAT